GACCCGTTTTCAATAAATTTTAAATATCTCAGGAATGGAGCAAAATTATAAGGAAGCCATACGTCACTCTGTTGCTCGCAGTTTGGCGATTCCGATGATATATGCAAATGCAGGCTATGTCTTTTCAAAGAAAAAACTAGATAGGTTTACAAAAAATTCATGAGGCTTTGAGCGTCTTGTCTTGGCGCCAAATTTTCAAAAGTATAAAATGAAATATTAATTTTCGAAAAATGTTCTCAGATTCATTTTTCTACACCGAATTTAGAAACCTTAATTAGAAATCTTCAAACTCAAACCAGTATTTGAAAAATTTGTTTTTTTAAGAATTAACTGTTTTTTGCCATTTTACATGGTAAAAGTTTTTAAATTTTTTCGCCACAAAACTCTTTTTCCAAAATTAAAACATACTTTTCCTTAATCAGCTCGTTGAGCTCTATCCATTCATGTATAAATAAATGAATAATAAATTAGTGTGGAAATTTGGAATTACGGGCAGCTTACAAACATTTCCTCTGCAACCATCAAAATACGATAATTTTAATTTAGTTTAGTTTTAAAACCACTTATTAGTTACTGGATACTCAAAACAGAACTAATTTCTGGAAGAATTAACAGAAGATACCACGACCGGTTCTCGTCAGGCGGTTTCCTTCGAGAAAGACAAAGTTAAGGCACGGAAAGCTAAAAAATGTCTTCTTACTAAAATGATAATTCAAGGAAAATAGACAAAGCGAGCTGACTTTTCATCTTTTGACTGAATGCACAAAGAATTTTAAGTCCAAAAAGAATTGTCTGCGATTATGCTTGCAAAACTCATTTTTTTACTGTTGCGATCCCTTTATCTTTTGAATGTTGTATGTATCAAGTGAGGTTGTGTCTGGAAGAACTTTACTATTCATTTCTTTTAATTCAACTCGCACGAAAAATTTACTTGGTTACGACACGCTATTCAGCATAAACGCTGGAAGCGTATTGTACTTAGAAGTAAAGAAAAAGTGATTGTCTATGTTATCGTAGAAAAAAGAAATCTATTGTGAAAGGAAGTTGAGAGAAGAATAATCGAATATTTTATCTTAAAAGAAAACTAATTGTTAGTTTATAAAGCAAGAGTGACGTGTACTACTTTTTTTTGTTCTTCTTTAATATCAACTACAAAGGGCGATTTTGCGACTCATTTATTAGCAAATGTACGAAGACTTTCAGTGAAAAGTTCTATCTGAGATAATTATATTAAGGCCTTCTTGGTTTTCACAAACTGACTGATTGTTTTCTTTTATTTTGACTCAGATGTTAAAAGGATAACAGTAGAGACCTGCACGAGTTAAGAAGACTTAAACCGAATCTGTCCCTCCTCCTCATCGAGCCTCCTCACCGAGTTTCACCTCCTGACAGAAATGCGGATTTTTTTTTCAAAAGTTGATATTAGCTAAGCATATAAGTGAATCAACCAAGATATATGATGTTATGTAAGAATTCATGCTACTTTTGCAAATATGAAAGGTTTTTTCAGAAGTTTTTTACAAAGTCTAAAACGATTGGATTTTACTGAAATTCTACTATTCCAGTAAAATATCGAAATCAGAAACGGCTTCACTGATGCTAGTTTATAGAGCAAACATTTGAGCTTTTCTTCTCAAATTTCTCTCAACTTTGAGCGATGGTTAGATAAAAAGTGATGATAGTTTTACTAAGAGCTCTGAAATCTGTGCCATACACTATATTTTAAAATTCATTTTTCTCTTCGTCTCTCTAACAATTTCAAAAAATTTTCACTCAGTTTAGATGCTAGAGAGCTCTGTATGGTTTGATTTTGTAGAGAGAGGTGGCCATATGACGGTACAGAGTCGGATTTTTGAGCTTCATTCGAAGGTAAGAAAAAAAATAAGGATCTCTGAAAAAGTCGAGAGAGCTTTTTAGGGGTTTTGACGAAAAATGTTTCATGTTAATTAGGTACACAAAATTTTAAAAATTCGGCTCTGTATTGTCAAAAACGACAATATTTTTTTAGGAACAGAACCATTTGGAACTCTATAGCACCTACAATGAGTGAGAATTTTTGAAAACCTTAACTGTTTCGTTTTTACCACTGTTGTGGCGACATCTCGCGAACAAAAACATAGAGTCAATAAAATTTCGTCAAGATACTTTGACATGATCATCGTTCACTGAAAGTTTGGTTCAGAATGGACTTGTAGTTATACCGAAATAGAATTCTGATAGGGACTCTTAACTATAGAATAGATAACTCTTCTCTTTGCCAAACCTGTTCGTTTGTAATGTGCTTCATACGTTCAGATGAACCTTCTTTAATGACATAATATTTTTTATTCTTCATCATCTGTGAAACACTATTTTAACAATCACTACTCAAACTTAAAGTACTGTAAAAACATTTTCATTTTCGTGTTGAAATAAAAAAAATAAAAAGTCAGAGAAACAGGAATTAATACCACTGTATTCCATTTAGAGGACATCAGACATGTATACACAGAGTTCAAAACAGAAAAAAAATGACATTAAAATTTTTTTGAAGAATTGATTCTATTTTTAAATAAAATAGTTAATAATAGTCGAGTAAACAAAACGCAAGAAACAATAAGAAAGGATGTAATTTCATAATATTTTTTTTATGTATTGATAAAAATATCGTAACAATAGAACAATAGTTTGTCATTATATATGAAAATAGTTTAAATAAACTCATCATTATTATCACAAGTTTATTGTAGAGAAAAAGAGATCCGACAATACTTTGTTTTATTATATTTTTTTCTATGACTATGATCATTTGAATGATAAAAATATGCCATTAGAAAATTCAAGAGCTAAATCTATATCGCGTGCTCTTGAACGTCATGGGCCTTCTTTATCAGATTTTCCTCAAAAAACCTATACAGTAGCAGTAGCTACCAAATCTCATGCATCCATCCTCTCTAGTGATCCAAGCACAACGAGTGCAATGCCGAATAGTAACGGTAATACAAATGATGAAACAAGAATAATTGAACGAAATCAAAATAAATTACGAACACAAGAGTCAACACCAAGAAAAAACAGTTTACAAAATCGACAATATAATGGTACACATTGTTCATCTCCAACAACTCTTACACCATCAGCAACATCATCTACAGTTGATCGACGTCGAGCAACAGTGTCCGAAGGACGAACATATACAAAAACGACGTCAAATACTTCTAACAATGTAACATCACAAAGTAAGCAACAAAGAGAAAAAGAAGATATCTCACAGTTACCACCAACGAAATTAAAATGTACACTTCCAATCGGAACAACACAACCCGGATATATTACACCTTCAAAATTATTCAATATTATGGGTCATGGACTTGATAATCAATATTTATTTATGCATGCACATTACTTATATATTATTGACTGTCGGACTAAAGAAAAATTTAATGAAAATCATATTGTTACAGGTAAAAAAGTACAAAATCGGCTTCTCATTTAATCGAAATGATTTCTTTTTTCATTGTAGCAATTCATTGGGAAGATGCATTAAATGGTTCGGTATATATGTCGGTTGTTGAAAAATTTAGTGAAATTGTTTTATATGATGAAAAAGGAATATTTTTTAATACAACAACTGAAATGAGACGTGTTATTAATCGATTTTCAGGTCCCGGATCTAAAACTTGTTTAACGATGAGTGGTGGATTTGAAGCATTTCGATCATTATATCCATTTGTTTGCACCAATACGGACATACGTTCAACGGTTGATAGAGAAAAATTTTTAACCATATATCCATCAGTTGTTATTGACAATCAATTATATATTGGTTAGTAACTGTATGCTAAAAAAGAAGAAAATTATTATACATGATCTATATTTATTATAGGTACTGGTCATCAAGCAACAAATTGGAAAGTTGTACGTGATTTAAAATTAACTCATATTGTTAATATATCAGTGGAACATGACTGTTTATTCAAAGACAAAATCAAATATTTACATTTGGACCTGGAAGATAAAGAAGATGTATTGTTAAAAGATCGTTTTGATGAATCAAATCGTTTCATTGAAACAGCTATACAAAATGGGAATGGTCGAATATTAGTTCATTGTAATCTAGGTATATCACGATCGTGTACAATAACATTAGCCTATTTAATGAAAACGTATAATGCTACACTATCTGAAGCATTTCGATATTTACGCAATAAAAGACCCATTGTTTGTCCAAATCTCGGCTTTTTATCACAATTACTGGAATTCGAATTAGAACTATTTGGTTATCAATATTCGGACGGTAATGATAATATTTTTCATTAGTACACGAGCGTACAACGCTGTTTTTTCCTTTTTGTATATATTGTAAAATCTATCGGCTCTAAGAGCTTTATGTTGAGTGCTTTTCTGATAATAATAATATTAAAAGTTTTGTTCTATTCTTTCTAAGGGATAATAAGATGCTTGTACATTTAACACGAATAAGTGAGCGATAGAATCTGACTAAGTTTTGAATATAGAGTAAAAATTCAAGGAAATTATTTGTTTAATGAATATAGAACTACAAAACTCAAAAAACGGCTGCTTTTATATTCAAGAGAACACAATCAGCATATTTGTTACTAATAAAATCCTTAAAACGGGTGAAGATAGAAGTGACAACTATCATCATACTAAATGGAAGATAATTTCCTAAATAAACACATTTGTAAGGTTCAAACTCCGATTGAGATCAATCTCCGATTAGCCTAAATCAAATTCTAATCACAGTTTAAATTAGTTGAAACTCTCATCCTAGTTTGACCTGTATTTTTAGTCGTACAAATTACGATCGGAGTTTCGACTAGGCCAGTCTTGGCCGAAAGGAAAAATTGCCACCATCATTGATCAATTATTTTATTTAATAACTGGTGGTGTATTAGCTAAAATTGGCAGTGTCGATGATGGAGAAAATCGATCGAATATTCTCACTTATGATAATAGGGATAGAAGATCAGAAAGATTTACCTGACACAATCGCTCATTATTTGATTAGTGAAGAAGACTTAACATCTGTCACTTCATCTCCTACATTTTCCACACTATGGTGGTCTGATCAATTTTTTTTGTTATAGATGTCCTTTACACTTGTATTCAGTTCTCAAATATTTCTATTGTTAACCCTTATTCAACTGAATGGTGTATAGAAATTTTTAATCTCAATTTGGCCTGGTTCACTCTATATATGCATCAGTTTCAAACTGAAACTGACGTCAATAGTTTCAGTTTCAATTAACTGTCACTGATGCATATCTAGTTCAATCTGAGTTTGATCTAGAACGGTTGGACTGCAGTTTTCCCTTTCGACCAAGACTGGCCTAGTCGAAACTCCGATCGTAATTTGTACAACTAAAAATACAAGTCAAACTAGGATGAAAGTTTAAACTAGTTTAAACTGTGATTAGAATTTGATCTAGGCTAATCGAAGATTGATCTCAATCGGAGTTTGGACAATGACATGCAGAACCAATAGTGTAAAAGAGTTCTACTATTTAAGCAAAAAGATTTCAAGTACAAAAGATTTTTACCATCAAATTAAAGTTAATTTAAAAAGTTTTTAACATTTTTTTACCGCCAAATTACATGTGAGGACTCTGATACAATTACATCTCTTCTGAAAAATATGTAAGTTCGATTCTACTTTATGCTAGAGGAGGAAAAAAAACTAGTAATAAATAAGCCAGATTATAACTCATATGATACATTTTCAAAGATCAATTTTGTAAACATGTTACCACCATAAGTTTCATACTTATAAATTCTGTCGGTGTTTCAATGTGAAGATATCTGATTCGAAATTGATCCAAGAGTATCACGTCTACTTCCATTTTTTTCTCTGAACTATTATTATATGTCTTTGTAATTGTAATACGATATGTAAATTAACAAAAAAGATGTGTCACTTTGTTTAAACAACTAGAATGTACACTGCTTTTTTTTGCTAAATATTATTCATTTTGATGTTTTTAAAATTTTTGAGGAAATAAAGTTATATGCAACGGTGGTTTAAAAATGCAAATGTATATATTTATTTGGATACGAAACAAAATATATTTGTAGAACATAAATGGACGTAAAATAAATTGCTTTATCAAAAAAAAACAAAAGAGCGATAACTAAATAAAAAATAAAGATGTGTATAAGTGCGTAAGTGTAAAGTGATTTTAAAAGACAGGAAGAAAAGGTAAAACTAAAAAATATGTTTATGCAATGAGAGATTGAAATTAAGATTATCATTTTTCTACTACAAAACAAAAAATTATCATTCAGAAAGAGAAATAAAAGTTGATGATAATGATGATGATGATGATGATGATGATGATGATGATGATGATGATGACGATGACTACAATGCTTCATTAGAGTTTATATTGCGTAAAAATTGCGATAAACAAGTGAATTAAAATATAAAATAGAACATTCTCAACAAAAGGAAAAATATATGCTTTGTAGGAGAGGAAAGAACTGGGCACGTACAATATTCGTAAATATACAAATATACGTATATATATACACAAAACAGCAAAATAAAAATTTATCAGAATAAATAAAAGTTTTTATAAGTACAAAAGTATCGTAGAAACTTTATCAAATAACTATGCAGCTATTTTCTCTTAAATACACATTAGAATATGGTTCTGTAATTTATTGAATGTTCGGGAGATTAAGTCATTTTTTTCTACAAATATTACGCCAACAAAAAGAGAAAGACTCGCACTTTTCAAGTCATAAATACAAATTCAACGTTCATTTGGAATGTTTTTCCTAGAAAAATAAAAAATCTGTCAATAAGAGTAAGAAAATATTATCATAATGTCTATCATATTAGTCATTTAAAAAAGAAAAGAAGAAGGCTACACAATTCATTTCATTTTACTATACGTACAGACAAATACATACAAAATACATCTATAAAAAATATACAAAAGCGTGTCTGTTGATTGCTAGAGGTGTAGAACTATCAGTTTATAAAATATTTCAATCGACAATAAGCAGGAAAGAGAGAGAGAGAGAGAGAGAGAGAGAGAGCGAGGGATCAAGAAAAATAACAAACTGTCAAAAAAGCACTTAGAAAAATAAAAAGAAGAGACTAAAACTAACTAGCTAGCAAGTGTGCAGAGAGAAAAGAAGAGATAATACAGATTATCATTTAATTAGAAATATTTTTTTTTGATAATTTTGGTGAATAAATTTACTTCAAACGAATATTATTTAAATTTTCCTTAAATATGTTACGAGTTAATTCTGGACGGCGATCAATACCATCCACCATTCCTGGTACCTGTAAAATATTGACAATAAAAATGAAAGGATTAACATCTTTTTAAGCATTTTTTTTTGTTTTTATTCTTGAAACAACAAAAGCTTACCACGTTTGAATCAACAAATATACAGCCATGTCTATTTAATTCAAGTCTTTTAACTTCAATTTCTTTTGCATCTACACCTCGACAAGCATCTTCAATTAATACTGTACGATAATTATGTTCAAGTGAGTGCATCGCAGTTGCAGCTAAAATAAAAATACAAATTTAAACGTAACTAATAGACTAAAATTCTTAAATTCAACATACAAACACAAATATCTGTGGCAAGTCCCACAACATAAACATCAGTCACATTTCGCTCTTTCAATTGTTCATCTAAAGTTGTTTTAGCTAATTTCATATTATCCCAAAATGCTGAATATGAGTCAACATTTGGATTTGCTCCTTTAAACACATGAATTGCATTATCAACTAACTGAATATTAAAAAAAAAAATTGATACTTATAGTGATTTATTATTTTTAGTATAATTTTTTTTTCGTCTTCTCTTCTTACAATCAAATCTTTATGAAGAGCAGCACCACGAGTATCTTGTACACAATGAGCTGGCCAAAGAACTTGTTCAACTCTTGGTGGACCAACAAATATAAGGGAATCAAGAAGTTTAGCTTCATCTGCGCTAACCTGAAGAAAATAAACAAAAACCAAAAATTTTAATTAAATGTTCAATATAAAATTTAATTTAAAAAAACTTACTTTACTTTCTGGATCTATTTCTCTTAAATATCGATTTTCATAAAATGATATATGATTATGTGGATGCCAATCGTATGTATAGGCAACAACATCAAATCGAACATTTCTTAATACACGATTGATAACAGGAACAACTTCTTCACCTGTGAAGTTACTGTTAGATATTTAAGTTATGAACAAAAGAGAAAGATAATTATGTAAATGATACAAATATTTTATATAAATATGATTATTTTAGTACAATAAAAAATGTTAATTATTTACCTTGATGATTCGCTGGACACGAATGTAAAGCCAATGTACCGCTTATAAAATCATTTTGAACATCAACTATAACCAATGCACTGACGGGTTTCAATGTTGTTTTTAATGTTTCTTTCCATGCTTGTTGAAATTCATCAAAATCAATTCGATTATCCTGAAAGTAAAACAAATAATAGAAAAGATAAAAATGAATCAGTAAGATAGTTGTTACCTGATTGAAATCAGTTTCTTGAAAGTATTGTTCAACTAGTTCAGTTAAAAGAAAATAGGGTTGTCGTTTATTTGAAAATAATTCTTTGAGAAAACGTTGAAAATCATCATGTGACCATGATCCTTGACTAAATGAAATAAATATAAATAAATAAACATTATTAAATAAACTATCAATTTATTCTTACTTTGTAGAATCAAAATGACGAAAACATTTTTTAAGTTCTTCTTCCGTAAAATTTCTTTTTAAACAATCAAACGGATCTGAATCAAATGGCGGTGGTGACATAGATTCTAAAGTATAAAAGAAAAATTCTAGTTCGCAATATTTTCATAAATATTGAAAAATGTCGAAATACAATGATGTGCTCATTTTTTCAAATTAAGAATAAAAAAAAATCTATAATTAAACCTTAAGATAATATCAACTAAATTAGAAAAATAATCAGAACAAAGAAGCATATATTTGCTTTTTTCTTTTCTCTTATAGACAAAAATATAAATGGTGTAGACAAAGAAGATCTATGCAATATTTTTGCAATAGTTTTTGACATAAATTTCAATCATCTTTCCTTTAACCTTTCATAGGTACATAAGAGAGGATGGTAATAATTCACAAACGGCAGAAAGTAGTCTACTGCTAAGAAATTTTCAAAAGCTTTAAAGAAATAAAGTCATTAAAAAACATTGTAAACAGTGAATAATGTCGATGTTTTTTATCGATTAATAAAAACAGTTGAATTCTGTCACTGTTACCTTTTTGACCCATTCCTATATGGACATGAGATGCTGACTTAGCTAAAAATTTTAAACAATCATTATTGACTACAATGGGAGCTAAAAGCGATTTAACTATAAATGTTGAATGATAGAGTATATTTCGAATACCCATAGTTTATTACTATTGTTTTTGATTATTATGCTTAATAAAAACCAGTTTTTCATATGTAACAATCTTTTTTTTTTAAGAGGAAAATAAAAAAAAAAAAGAAGAGGAACCGGTGAAGAAACGTTTCACTGTTGTGTTGAATGAATAAGTGAAACAATTAAGGAACAACGATGCAAAATAAAAAGAGGAAAAAAAAAGAACAAAAAACAAAATTAAATAGAGGTATAGACTCGAGGGTAATATATTGAACACTTTAGCATAGTTACCGTCTTAAATTATTCTCATAAATTCTACATTTAGCGTATAGGAACCGGTTTTTTGCAGTGATTTATTTTTTTCCAGATATAAATATAAATATATATATATATATATATATATGTGTGTGTGTGTGACGTCACAATTGTACTTTTCATTAACTCAATTTTTAATATTTCTTTTTTCTGTTCTCAATTTTCGCATGCGACTACAGATCTACATAAAAATTGAACATGATAAATGGAACTAATCCTCTGAATTAAATCCAAATTATAGTGTCAATAGAAAAGAAAAAAAAACAGAACATAAAGGATCACGTTGCTTCACAACAGATTCTTAAAAAGATATTATATAAAGTCTCATTCAAACTATGACAGAGGATATTATATTAAAGGGAAAATAGACAATGAGTCTTTTTTAGTTTACAAATAAAGGAGAAATTTTCTTTCATTTTAATAGCTTTCTGTGAATTCTTATCAAGAAAAGAACCTAGCATGTCTAGAGAAGGTATCACTTGTAGGCTATCATGTTTTGACCTTCAAAAAAGATATATTCTGAATCATTGCACGATTCTACAGCAAAAACTGTAATCCGAATTGAAAAAATCGATGTACTTTTTACTAATATTCGAGAAACAGACATCTTACGGTTTTTTAATGCCATCCAGTATCAAGAGAAGATCTTATTACAACTTCAGGTCTTAAGTTCAGGGATCCTTTAGCAAATATTTTTTAGTGATGAAGTATAAATTCGATCGTATAGTAGTCGACTTTTGTATGTTGAAGAGATAAGAGAAGGCTGTTATTATTTATATGCTAAATTATTTTCTTATTTCAATATCAGTACAAGATCCCATAGTATCATCATTTTGTTACGTTAATTTCTTTTCTATATAAATGTCACCAGTAAGGCGTGCATAGTTAAATAGCACATCATATGCAAGCCATCTGATACCTTCTCATGAACGCGCTGTGAACACCAGTGCACTATTAATAAAATGAAAATAAATGACACGTTGTAGTACGCTGGTTTATTTTATTAATATTCTTAAGTAAACACTTAAATCTCGGCGTGATCTTAGTTAAGGGCGACCTAGATTCTTGGTATTAATAAAAGTTTGTAGCATCGACTGAAGTCTTCGTTTTGGCACAAGTTTGTCTTAACTTCACGCAACGTGATCTTATGTTAAGCATTGATTTACCACACATCCACTGTTTTCTGTAAGACAACACGCTGAAACAAAATAAACGTTGACGTGTTCAGTATGTATTGCAAGCAAAAATAGAATTTTAAGTTTGACTAGGCAAATTCGTGAGGATGTGGGATTTTAATGCGTCGCATTTCGACACCCCTCATTTGAACGTATGTTTTTTCAGAACTTTGTCATTCGAGTGCGTCTTATCTCACACAGAGTATCATAAAGCAATGAGTTAATTAACATTTAGAGTTGTTAACTTATATAAATTTTGAACAGTATGATTTTATATCGTTAATAATATCTAAAAATTAATTTTTTTGTCGACTTCGTATGATATCAGGTCTGCCTTTATTATTATCTCATTTAGTTGTAACAACATATGATGATGTTGTTAATTTATGTCTGTTACATCTAAGAAATGAAATGGAACCATTTTATGATTATTTTCGTGAGGCATGGTTTAATGTTAATTTTGATATAAATTTATGAAATTTTTATGGACCAAGAAAAATAACTAATAATGATATAGAATTTTGGCATTCATTCGGTGTTTTTGCTGCTGTAAAACGTGCATGATTTTTTTTCACTGTTTGCCTTATTCAAAGTTTTCCTTTATGCGTACAAAAAAATGCTAAGAAAGGAGAATTAGGATCTGCAAAATGAAGATATATTGAAAACAAACAGAAATGTGTTGCAAAAACACACACGCTCAAACTAGAGGCGCTGAAATGATATATATATTTATATAATACAGCTTTATTGAAAACATTTGTACACAAAAAGACTTGCTAGACTAAAGCGTCCCTGGCAAGAAGAACTTATAAAGAACATACAATAAACCTCATAGATCAGTAGAAAAATATGAAAGTTACTTTGAATTTGAGTTTTTGAGAAATATCACAATGTAAAAGGGAAGAGCAAACAGAGAGCGCAACAGGACATAGTAGAAAAATAGTTGAGCTTGATTGTATGATTTCTAGATACAATGCTTGAAGTAGCGAGAAAAATTTACATTGTCGAGTTAAAACTGTTCATTATACACCATTAGAAACATTATTGAACAGAGTTTCACTTACATTTAACATATGAAAAAGTTTGTGAGGAGGACGATTAGCACAAAAAACAGGACGCCGTTGAACAGAAAGCGTGGGATCATGAAAATATTGAGAAAAGTAAAGAGATTCCATCTTATATTGCATAAACTCAGTTAGTATACCTGGATCAGTACGATGAATCGTTTCCAGCATTTTGTCCCAATGAGTATCGACCAGTGGTCACATTGATCTGTATTTAGGAAAACGTTCAAATTCGATATGATAGGGTTCATGCAACTGGTGAAAACGCGAAACACTTGGTGATTCAACTCCTCGAGTTTCTCCCTGTTTGTGAGTGACAAGACGGGCCAAATATCGAGAACTGAACGCTAGTGAGATCGAATCACGTTTCTAAACATTTACTGCTGGCCACAACGAAAACATTTTGCTGAATCAAACACTCTTTAGTTGTGATCATTAAACATTTGATGGTTAAAACATCGAAAGATGCGGGCAGCCGGTGAATAAAGTTGAGTCGAGTAGGTTGTACGATCGTAGCTCATTTTGACTCATTTTGTTTTGACACTTATAACAAATTTTATAAGCATTTTATGTTTTTTGCAACTGGAAAAACGAGCATTTTTGAAATGAGCGATTTCGTTCTTTTTTTCATTAATTGAGAAGAGAGCGACACACAAAATGACGCCAGAACAAACCTTCTATCACATACCGTTACTGGGAAAATCAGGAAAAAACGTAACAGCGTTACGTTGGGACAAGCGGATTAGTAGAATTCTCTATTTATGTAAAACATCATACGTCGATTTTTGCCTATAAATCGACTCAATGTTAGAAATATCAGTTGTAGAAACAAACGTATTTAAATGTACATCGAACCTGCGTTGTGGTCCACGCTCACGCAGATGTGGTAGTCACCGAATATTGTTTGATATAAGCTTTATTTTGCCAGAATATAGTTCACGTGTCTGGATAATTTATGAATTCAAAAGAGATGTTAAAATCAACTTTTACAGTAAAATCAATTGACAAGATAAATTTGAAATCTGTCCGAATTCAACAAATGTCTGTTACAAATATCGACAAACCCATGTTTTATTGAATAATTATAAGTTTGCCTGTCAAACTTCGAATTGATATGCAGATATTTCGATTTTCATTTTGTGCAGACAAACTTATAATTTGTTTTACTAGGTGAACTCTAAATTTACCTGAATTCTCGTTTTGCCTTCAATTTTTGTTCATGAACTTAAGAATATTTATGAAATGACTGCCGGGATCTTTAAAGAGTCTACAAACTAATAGTCCAAAAAGTAGTTACGTCGTATTTCTCCCTACCTCCTTCTATATCTCCTTTATACGTTACAGTTATTTTATTTTAAAAGATGGGCCGTGAAATTCTCTGCAAAAAACGTGTTACGTATTTTACCGGATAATATAAAAATGATTAGTTACATGAAATTAGTTAGCGATTAAGTGATTAGTTACAAGTGCGCACTTTTTTTAATCGCTTACATAAGTATCAAGGAATAAGTTTCCTGATGTTGTGAAGTATGCTCTTCCTGATGCATTTCATCCCAATCTGGCATTATGATAAAAAGACTGACTTGATTAAAATTCACTGAAAAACAACGAAAATTAGATGATTTTCATTTAGCATATTGAAAAAGAACAAAAGTTACCGAACTTTTCGCGTTTGGATATAAAAGTGATAATATTTCTCAATTCGATACAATAAAAGGAACTCGAACATATAATGTTTGATTTTTGAACGAGTTGTGCTGATTTTATGCAATGGTGCGAAACTGCTGGTCGAACATCATATTTTTAGCAAAGCAAATGAAAAGAAAAATATCTCATGTAATCAGTTGTACTCTGGCAGAATTTTGATCATATTTAGAACGTAAACTATTCAAGGGCTACAAAATGGCTAGTTAGACTTTTTCGATATTTCAATAGATGAAATATAACTGAAGAAACTGTTTTTTCGGTTAGAAAGTGAACCACTTTGGATCGTCTGAGTATTTTTCGTGTAGCTATTCACTTTTATATCTTAAATATTCATAAAATACTCAACGCGGTTATTGAGAGAATTTGACAGCGTATCTTTTCAAAACAATAATTTTAACGTATAAAGTAGAAATGAGATATAGGTAAAATACTTAGTGACTACTTCTTTTTGGGTCATCCGTTAAAAGATACTCGTTTTATTACGTTTTATATTTTTTACTGTTCATACTAAAAGCACACGCTCTATACATGCATGATCACTGTATAAAGTGCATGAGAAAGAAACATGCTCACAGCAAAAGCAAAAACAAACTTTACATATAATCAAGAAAAAAATCAGAAATAAAGCACAAAGAGGTGACAGCAACCTCACAAAACAAGCCGCTCAGGCAACGATTTAAAATAATCAGGGTTAACTTGTTGCTAATCCAAACCAGATAGAATAGAAACAGGACTGTTTTGGACTTGTTTTTCTTTCAAGTGAAAAAATATCATACAATGAAATTATATAAGAAGAAAAATCGAGAGTATAAACAAGAGTGAAGCGAGAGAGAGAGAGAGAGAGAGAGAGAGAAAGAGAGAAAGAGAAAGAAAACACCATACCTGAGTATAGCATGGGAATAAACAAACACAAGACAGCAAACCGATGGTGAATTTCATGAATTCGAGAGAACAGAACTAGAGTGTTTATTTTTTATTAGACAACGAAGATTGATGATTTGTTCAAATTTAAAAAACAGCGGCAAGCTACGATAAAACGTCAGTTTTCGAAAAGCACCAGACCAAAGAAACATGTTTTGTCTACTGAAGTACACACACATAGACACAATAGAAGAGAGGCCCAAGAAAAGTGTGCTTATGTTTTTGTTTTCAATTTAACTAATATACAGAGAAATGTATGATACAGAATAAGGTATCGTAGTACAGGATTAGGGTTTATGTAGCAGATGCCGAAGAAACGTTAACAGAGACCTACACAAAAACAGAAGATTTCATAGTTCAAGAGTTGGGGGTACTCAAAAAATGCTGCAAATGTCTACAGCTGACAAATTCTACCTGATTAATTTTTGTGGAGGATTTTTAACAAAAACTATTATTCAGATTAAGAAAACAAAACGAGAATATAATTGTTTTTATATTAGTAAACCTTAGACCTTCAGATACTATACAGGAAGCGATAAACACATGAGAAAATGGGATGAAAATGTTTTGAGCAAGACGTCAACAATTTTTCTTGAGCTAAACGTCAGCTAATTCAGTTTACATCCTATTTAATTATAATGATGAAGAATTTGGTGTCTAAATAGTGTTCAGTAAAAAGATGAAAGTAACTCAGACGCTTTAACGAACAAACCAACGAAATCTTGATTAAAAATCACATATACACAAACAGCTTCCTAGAATTGTTGTCTTGTTGTATAATTCCCTAATAATGTCGTTCGTCTTTCAATAGTTGTTGTCACAGTTGTTGTTGTTTCAATTAGGGTTTGCCGATTTTGAACGTAATCATTATAATGTAATGTTAATTTTTCACTTCTATATCGTGTGACCTGGACAGATTTTCGTAAATCGTTTGTTATTGTTGCTTTATAACCACCTTTACGTAATAATGAATCTAATGTTTGAACATGATTCCAGCCTTGTTCTCGCGCTACTTCAGGTAAATACGTAGCACTACGTTTTGAACCTCGTTCATTTACAAATTCAATACGTATACCATGTTTACCAATTTCCCAATCTAAATGAAAATCAAACAAACGTTTACTTACGTTTTAAAAATGATATTCATTTAAATTCATTTACATACCCAAATAATCATAGGCGACTTCAAAATTTGTCAATATACTGACAGCACAATGTAATTGGACATATTCATCTCGTGTAATTGGATTAAATCGACTATCATTTGTAGCCGATGTCAAAGCATATTCTCGTAAACCTTGAAGTAGATTCATCGGTGTGAATGTACCGATACAACCACGTAATTTTTTTTCTGGGCCAATAAGCCATGTAACAAATAATGGATAATGAACATCATGTGGAATACTTATATTAGGTGCGACTGATGTACTAGCATTCTTGGACGACGAAGACGAGGGTGTTAATGATGAAAATAAAAAATCTTTTTTAAATAGATAATTTCCTAATATTTCAAAACAATAATAAATCATATCAGCATGAACAATACTCAGTTTTTGTTCTTGTTGTTGTTGTTGTTGCTGTTGTGTTTGATTCGATGACGATGGTTTTACTGTTGCAACACGTTTGGATGCGTTATAATTATTATTTAATTTCAATGATGGCTTACTATCATTGCAATCTTTCATTTCATCATCATCAACTTCATCGTCTTCATCTTCGTCCATACTATCAACCTAAATATAGATTGAAGAAGGGATATCTTGACATGCTGGAAAATATATACGAAAATGTTACCAATAAGTTGCAATCACTTACATTACTATTCTTATTCGAATGTTTATTTTTCATTTTATAATGATGATAATGATTGTTGTGTTTGTTATTCGTTGCTTGTTGATTCGAAAATGTGTAGGCTAATGCGGACGACGATGCACTATTAGCTGTGTTTCTCGACAAATCGTGCGGCATTACGGACGGTGTGGCAGTAGTTATTGTTGATGACGGCGTATGATTCGGACGATAATTAAATTGTGATTGTGATCGTTGATGATGATGATGCTTTAAATGAAATGTATTATGATTATTATTCAAATGATTCGATGAGTTATTGTGTTTCTGTTGTTGTTGTTGCTGTTGTTGGGATGAACGGTAATGGTAATGATTGTTGTTTTGATATGATGAAGATGTGGTGGCTAAGAATGAATCATTACCATTGGGAAGGAGTTTGTTGTGTTGTTGTGGATGATTACTATTTGAATTTGAATTTGAATTTGAATTAATATGTGAGACTTTCTGTTTTTTGCCACCACAACATACTGCCATCAAAATATCCGTTTACCAGTTCCAGTGCCAGCTAAAATAGGCAAAATCAATTTTACCAGGAGAACAGAGTGCTCAACGTATTCAAGTAAAAAGCAGAACAAATACGCATTAGAGATGTCAAGTGACCGTTAGATTCTCCAGCAACTGGCGAGTTACCAGTTAGAAAATTAACTGGTAACTATTGTCACTTTTAGTTACTACTAAAGCTACTATTGGGTTTCTTCCGAGTTACTTTCAACGGTAATTCATGAGTAACTTGAAAACTACGATAATTTTGTAGTTAAAACCGATAACTCTATAGTTATAATTACTAGTCACTTTTTCACTCAGTTCATTACTGTTTGGTAACTGAAAGTAACAGTAACTGTAACGCCTATAACATAAATATTGTAGTATCTAAAAGCACATCTTCTTTTAACCTAACAACTTACTCGAACTTCGTTATAAAGTAGAATAAATTTCAGAATGTACACATAAAAATCCGCCTAAAATAGTAAAGTAAATAGTGAAATATTAATTTTGTTTTCCATGTAAAAAAAAACGTACTCACTATTCGGATCTTATGAGCCGAACATGAACTAAGACATGGAAGGAAGAATAATCTAGAATAAAAAAGAAATGAGCATTATCGATTCATGCAAGTAGTAGAATGCTTGTTAGTCAAATAACGTGCAAAACTAGAAGCGAGACAATAAATATATTATTAGTCACTGTGATTCATTACTCAAATATGATTATTTTTTAACTAAAAAAAAATTACACGCAGATCCACGTGATCATGTGTCAGGTATATAACATACATTCGTACAATTTATTTAATGATATTTTTGTTTACGACAATGAAGCATTGTGAATATGTCATCACAGTAGGTCTATTATAGCATACTAGTATATAAAAATAAAATATTTTTTAAAAGAACACCATTTCTTGTGATCTAATAAAAGTCAGCTTTCTGTGGCATCAGGGCGACGATCGACTATGATGGCGTTTAAGCAAAGATGTAGAGTTTGGGTAATTTTATAAGTTTGCGCTCTTTCTTTCTGTTAAATCGAATATAATCTTATAAACTGATAGAACGTGTGAACTGTTGCCACTTCAGACTTGCTCCTCAAAAATCTCAATGCTCATTTCGTCAACTTGCTTTCATCATATTAGAATATAAAGTGGGTCTTTTATCTCTCTCTCACTTTCTGCTTTGATTTTATTTTTATTGGATGAATGTCATACGTTTTTCTTTGCGATGCTCAAGGCAAATGTTTTTTTTAGAAAAAAGAAAAAAAAATGTCATATTGGAGACATATAAGAAATAGTAAATAAATCAGATGTTTTTCTCCTGTTCTTTATCTAAGAAAAAACTTACTTTCTCTATCAGAGAAAAAACAGTGTCTGAATCATACGAAAAAGAAAATAAATAGCTTTTTTAAAGCCCAATCTAACAACAAACTATTTTAAAAAAATTGCAAATGTAGTCAGTCAATCCTTTTCACTTCACTTACAAAAGCATTACCTCAAATGAGTAATCACTTTTGATGTCCGATGACTCAAAAAATCATCGAAGTAACCAAACTGAATCGAAAAAGGCATGACTGTTTCATTGTATTCGTTTCTACTGTTCTTGATTAACTTATGATTAATGGAAACAATATAAAAATGTACTTATATTCAACTACGAACAGATGTTTCACATATTTCGTCACAGACATAAAGCTAAAGTATGATACTAATAAAACTATAATAAAAAAAATAGGTGAAGTGCTAAGACAGTATACTTTCGAAAGATATGAATGAGACTTTAAATAAAAACCTGTATATTCCTTTATAAAGTACTACAAATTATCAAATGGTTAAATGTTTTAACACCAATCAGCTATTTGTATCGATGTCTAAGAGATGTCTAAGTTTTGCAGATTTATTCTAGACTACCGTATAACTTACCTTTCAACAATGATAAAAAGAAATTTATATCAAAACTTAACGACAGATAACAAACGTGTATAAACAGATTATACAAAAAAACATCAGAATTTCGAAAGTAAACACTAAAGCCAGGAAAGCCAATTATTCATGAAAACTAATCGTTTGTAAAGCTAATCCTTTTATTCTAAAAAAAAAAGCTTTTCAGTTTGCTGTCATTAAATTTTCCTCGCTAAACATCAGTGAAATGAACTTTTATGGAACTTAACGACAGATAACAAACGTGTATAAACAGATTATACAAAAAAACATCAGAATTTCGAAAGTAAACACTAAAGCCAGGAAAGCCAATTATTCATGAAAACTAATCGTTTGTAAAGCTAATCCTTTTATTCTAAAAAAAAAGCTTTTCAGTTTGCTGTCATTAAATTTTCCTCGCTAAACATCAGTGAAATGAACTTTTATGGAACTTAATCTATACTATGAGAATAATCTAAAGACAATGTTTTTACTTTATTCTTTTTATTTTGCGTAAGTAACATAATAGAAAGTTAACAATTCCAATACAAAGCAAAGTGAGGGGCAATCTATTTAAAAAAATAACAGAATTCATCAATTTTTCCTCGAAATACAGCGCACAGTGTGAGAAAGAACAAAAAACCAACGGTTGTTCGATTTCACCTTTACATAGCCACTATAGCTGTTCAAATCATCCTCTCGTGTAATTGATAACCGTTGTTCATCACTTATGCAACTGTATCACTGGTTTTTTTAAGCTATTATTTGAAATAAAGTCATAGTATTTGCCCTCTATTTGCTTTACACTTTTGCGTATTGATAATGACTAAATATTATATCAGTTATTATTAAATAGCTGTTTCCGATGAAATTGTCTTATATACTTCAATTAAGGAAAGTACATTTTTCATACAAATTGATTTACTGAAGAGAAAGTGATAAAAATATTGCAAACGACTCGACACGTTGAATGAAAGAAGCTGAGTTATTGATCTAAACCAGACTTTCGAGGGATCAATCGAGTGGTCGAAATAATGCCTCTCGCCTCTCGCAAGCTTACTTTGAGGACTCGATTTTCATTTTCCGAGGGACTCGGATACTCTCGACTGATTTTTTTTTTGTCTGCGCATGACAGGCATAATCAATGAAACGATTTCCTGTACAGTTTGAACCGAAAACTATGTAAAATCAAAAACACTATTATGATATTTCGAATTCCACCGGATGCAACGATTGATGTACTACTATCGTGGTTGCTGTTTGTTTCGTGTTGATTCCGCAACTGCAGGCGAATGTCTAAAATAAAGTATGAAAAAACGTACCTTAAGCTATTGACCCTTAAAGTGTGATCAAAGATCTGAGTAGATGATTCAAATCTGTTAGCATTACGTTTATGAACGATACTGACCAAAAAAATAATGGATACAAATATCGAAATAGTGCTTGACGTGATTTAGTCACGTTTTTTGTTTGCATTCCTAGTTGCCAGAGATGGACAAGTCAAGTCTTTTCTGACTTGAGACTTGAGAAATATCTGACTTGCTCATCTCTGCTATTTGCCAATACAAAACAAGAGAGAATTATAGAAACAAATATTTATCTTTATCTGAAAAACAGAATTGAAGACTTAGGCTAATGATCTTATGTACTTTACCAAGCACATAAGACGAATTATCCTATTAAGATACAAACTAAACTAAAAACTTCCAAAATCCTTGCTTCACATGCAGTAGGTTCGAAAAATAAGACGATAATAACGTAGTGTTTTCGAACGAGCAAAGCAAAATTAAAGTCATCTCACGTATTCATTTTTCTATACTATCGTAACTGATCTTCTAGAATCAATTAGCTGCTCTTCATCTTTGCTGCTTTTCAAAAAGCTTTGTCTAACTATCTCTCTTCTCAAAACTAACCATATTTCAAGTATTTTACGTTTTTCTTGTTTTCTTGTTTTATTATATCCTTAGTCTTCTTTTTCTAGTGTGTATACTTTCCTCTTATTGTTGTTGTTTATTTATTTTATTTTTTATCTTAATTTACATCTAACTATTTATAACTGATCATTTTCTGTCTGTTTGTAGAGGTCACCGTTATAAGAGTTTGACACCTGTGATGATCGCGCACTTTACGTCAATAAACATATTATTATTATGAAATGCACCTGAACCCCGCTCGATTTCTTGCAATGTTCTTCCCTATTTCATTAATCCTTTTTGTTAACTCTCTGATATAGTAAAAATGTGTTGATTTGGTAGTTTTCATCTTTGACAGAAAAAAATAACAAAGATTAAATGTGATTTCATTTCCTATTTCCCTTTTTTTATAAACTGTTAGAATTATCAGGTTAGACGTAAAAATAGCATTGCCTATAGTAAACAATCTCTCGATAATTCTAACAAATTAGAAAAAAAGGAAAACACGAAAGGAAACCAAATTTAATCTTTGTTTAGTTCTACAGATGTTATTCAATGATTTTTCTTCTTCGAAAGACGAAAACATAAACGAAACAGGCGCATTAGCTTCACTTCCGCCTACATCAATCAGCTGAGAATTGTGATTGAGCAGACTAATCGCCATCGAGTGAGTACTGAATATAGTTATTAGACCCAGCTGGGTAATACTAAAACGCTGAATTTTTTTACTGAATGCTGAATTGCTGAACGACGCTGATTGGCTGACTTCAAAACATGGATTTCTGCTGATAAATTCAGGATTATGATCGATACTGTGACATTTT